ACAAATTCAAAATGCCGGAGCCCGCGCCTGAGCCCACGAGTGTCGAGCCAGAACCTGCTCGTGCGACACAGTGAAAAGGATGTAAAAAAATGATTTAAACTTTTGTGTGTAATGCATATCACGATGTCAGACCCAACCATCGCGCATCTTCTCATCTCTTCAGTCGCAATTTGCGGAATTGCAGTATCTTGGCTCCAATTTACCGCAAAAGCCGCCAAAAAGGTGGCACAACTTTCCAACGAAATGTTTGCCGATAAGGCAGCAGAAGAAAGAAAAAGACAAAGAAAAATAGAAGAAGTAAGTAGAAGAATAAGAGAAATAATAAGAAGAGAAGAAGCAGAAGCAGAAGAAGAAGAAGCCACGGGAATGGCAGATTAATTTTGTTTTAAACTTTTCCGAGTGGAATATATCAACATGCTCACAGTTGACGCTCCCAAGTTTCTCGTCTGTTTCTTAACCTTTTTTGCTATTTCGAATGTGTTGTACGACTTAAACAATCTTTTGAGTGCAGCATTTGACGGCGAGGTTGCAGAAGAAGAGGCGTGTGCCAAGTGCACAGAAAAGGACGCAGGAAAGACAGATTAATTTTGTTTTAAACTTTTGTTGTTTTCTTATATCGAACTCGCCATGTCCGACAACAAGCTTGTCAAGACTGTCATTGAGGCCGCAACTCTCACGTTAATAGCCGCGGGCATTGGCTGGGCTGCAAAAAAGGTTGTGAAAGAGAATTTCACTTCTGATCCCAGCAGCAGCCCGATGAATTACGTGAAGTTCACCGCTGTTATGGCGGGCAGCATTGCGCTCAAAAAGTACCTCGAGGATCAGAAAATCCTTCCCACCAGCGTCTGAAATAATGATTTAAAAGAAGAGTCTGCTATATAGCACCATGGTGAGCATCATGATCATGATTGGCGGAGCTGTGTTGAACGCCACGGCTTTTATCGGCAGCAATTATCTGGCGAGGGTGTTTGGCGGGGGCGACAAAGCTGCGCTTGAAGAAGAGAAGCGCCATGAGAAAGCTCTCGAAGATTATCAAGCTGCTTACGCCAAATACATGCGAGACCGAACACGACTTCTTGACTGGATCACGACTAATGCGCAAACAAAGGAGCAGGCCAAGCAGAACTTCACCAACACCGACTACGCCTTCAAACTCTACAACCAGGTGCATCCTGACGAACAGATGACACCCCCCAAGGAGCCCAAGTTCTCAGATTTCTATGAGCCAAGCGAGCAGCAGAAAAAGGGTGAACTCGCGTTCGTGGGTGCCGGCGCTCTCGCTCTGGGCTACGCGGCCTTCTGGTTCCTTTAAACCTTTTTACACCTTACTAATATGGACGCCAAACTTGCAAAGATATACTACGGCCCTGGGGGCTATTGGAAAGGAATCGCCGCGATAAAAAAATTAGCCGAGGCCGCCAAGGTACCTGAAGAAACTGCAAAAAAGTGG